AGCAGAAAGGAAGATTCTGATGACGTATCTTGGGTATTGAGCTTGCAACATTAAGTAAAAATCAAGCTAAAGGATCAACTTCAACAAGTTGTATTTTTGTCTTTCAGGCACGGCTTAAAGGACCAGCTTTACTTGAGAAACATGTGCTTTTAAGAAGCTCCAAGATGCATTTGAATCTCTGGGAGGGCGAGTTGCAGGTAGAAACAAGGATGATGTTGAGGAAGCTAATTCCATGGTTTGTTCCGAGTCTCTTATTCCTTAAAAGTTGACACTTCTAAGTTAATAAGGTTCACAAGCTTCCTCCTTTTGTGAATAAACTTGCATGGGGATCTAGAAATTAATATTTTAATTTGTTAAGCTTTATACGCATAGATACTTAGTCTTGCTGAAAGATATGGTTGGCCGAGAGACCTCTCTGTTGCTTGATCAGAAAAAATGACTATCAGTTCGTGACCTAGCTCGTAAATTTGAGAAAGGTCTGGCTTCGCTGCTGCTGCCAAATTATCATTTGATGAGGTTCTGACTTTACTGTTTCACTCGTCTATGAAATGGACTACTTGCATTTCAAGCTTGTATCCACTGTCTTTTCCACAGAAATTACTAGGGGAGCAAATATGATGTAAATCATTCAGGAAAATTAGAAGGAACATAAAAGCTTCGAAAAAATTGGCTAACGCTTATTGAACAAATTTAGATACTTTTTTTTTCAACAAGTATCTATGCATATAAATCTTAAGAAATCAAAATATTTAAAAAAAAATCAGATACTAATCATATTCTTCTTATTGCATATTTCAATGTAAAACCAAAAATGGAAGTATCTTTCCTCAGTTTATTCCCTTCTCTCATTGGATTACTAAGAAAGTGATTCTTTTCAATGCTTGATAGTCATCATCTTACAGAGCTTGGGGTAGTTTTTAAGGATAATGGGATTTTAGGTGTGCCCTGCCCTATTCAAATGTTCATAGTTCCCTTATGATGAAACATATCAATGGGATCAAATAATTGATGCTATGAATGAAATAAGCTCTTATGGGGTTTACTTCACTGTATTTTTCTTATTAACTTGATATTTTCTTTGCTTATTTTATGTGAAGGCTTTTTAGGATTATTTACCTCGTTTAGAATGAATTAATAACTTACCATATAACTATAATTACTTACCCTACAGCTGGTGCCTCATCAAGAATAGCAGGTGCATGGAAGTCAGGACAGTTCCCTGCTTGTCGCCGCAACTTCATAATTACTGGTCACCTCTCAATTTTTGTCATTTTACTGAATTTATTATTACTTCAGATTTATAAACTAATATTTGAAGTGTATTCTTATGTAGTTTATTTCATTAACTATCATTGTACTAAACTTTTGTGTTCCTTTATGTTTCTATTCCACCTTTGAGTCATTCTTTTTTGCACTTGCTTTTCAAATAAAAGGTTTTTATATTTTACCTATTTAACTTGCAGACACCTTTAAAAGGTTTTGTACACTCTTCTGCTTATTTGGTTGACTCAGAGCTCTTTAGAAGCTGCTGGTTCACCTGTCAAGTTTCTCAGTGGCTTTCATGGCCCTCTTCCTTTTCAACTTCACACAAGGTTAGTTTGATGTTCATTAATTATATTTTCATTGGTCAATCTAATTTATGCTCTTTGACTCTTTCAGCCAGATTTACAAATCTGAGTTAGAGAAAGCTATAGAATAAGACAATAAGTATACAGTTTATATGTACAATAACATTGGGAAGAATGAAAAATTTTATACTAAAAAGATTAGTATTCAACAAATGGAACACTAAATTTTTTGCAGGTCCTTGGATGAGCTTTTTTATGCTAAAGTCGAACCACAAGTGATGAGTGATGAGGCGGGTTAATTTAAGACGGACGTAATAGGGGAAACTACCAAGCTATTTCTTCAGCCTTAACCGGCATTTCATGTTGCAAATGACATCATGATGATGTCATAGATTTTGTACAAGGAACAGTTTGCCCCATACGGTCTTGTTTTTTATTTACGAAATATTTAAAGATTTTGTAGTTGTCTGGGATGTATATGACGTTTTTGTGATATATCATACTAGTATATGACGAGTGATATAACTTTTTTCTTATATTGGTGTAAATATGTTTGTCCATTTGGAATTGTAAAATAAGACACAGCAGGTATTGGTGAATGGTGACGTAGACCTAAATTCCTACCCTTTTAAAAGGGAACACGCAGTATGTTAAATTCGTAATGGTATTTGCTGCGGTCATTGACCAACCGCAGCAAAAAGTATTTTTTAAAAAATTACAAATTAGTATTTGCTGCGGTTCAGAACCGCAGCAAATAAGTAAATCCACATATTGCTGCTCCTCCAATTGCTGCGGTTCCGAACCGCAGCAAATAAGTGAAAATAACCGCAGCAAATAAGCTTTTTTCTAGTAGTGATAGAATATCTCTCTCCTTATTTGAAGGAACTTATATCATTTTGGTAAGTTTTTCTTCACAATGTCAAGCACAATATCTAGATATAGACATTGTGGTTGACATTGTAGTGAAAAACTTTCCAAAAACACATAAAACCGTGGAAAGAAGAAGAGAGAAATGTCATGAATTCAATTTTTTGTGTCTATCTCTCTCATGTCATATGTGCACCGTGCACATTGTAGCATTGAAGATGCTCTTAGGCTGGGTTCATAGTCTTATTGATTTATTAATGCTAAGAGTTAGTGCTTTGTTCAATTGCGCTAAATCTTTAAGAGAAATGATTACGGATTGCATCTAGTTCATACCCGTTCCCTAGGTCGCAACTCCACTTGTAAAAATGTACTCCCTCCGGTTCACATTAATCTTTACAACTTGACATCACATATATTAAAAAAATAAACTTGACTATACTGTAGAGTACACTGTTTGACACTGTTTTACACGGTTTGACACTGTTTTGCACTGTTTGGTGTATATTTGTAAGGCAAATAAGGAAGTGTAAAGTTTAATGTGGTACTTCCAGAAAAGGAAAGTGTAAAGATTAATGTGAACCGGAGGAAGTATATGTATAAGAGTTATTATGTGTTGTTTAGAGGTGGCGGAAATCCCACACTATATCCCTTTGAATCATGCGGATCTTAGGTTCAAAATAATCATATAACAATAAGTTTTGTGACGGAAAATGGTAAGGGTTATTGAAAACTATGTTGGCACTTTTGTGGAGGCCGGTAATCAAAATTGTAAAGGGTATATGGGAAGCATACACAAGGGTTTAGGTATGACAAGAAAATGCGCTTTAAGTTGACTAAGGGCTCATTAATAGGGGCATAGCTAGGGAGACCAACCGAGGCTCCGAGCGATCCTAAATTTCATGTTTATTAAAATTATTAGCATAAACTAAAAAAGTTTATTTAAATTTCATGTTTTTTTAAATTATTAGCACAAACTAAAAAAGTTATGTAAAAAATCTAGAAATATTATTTGCATCGGCCCACCCCAATATTCCGCCTTGCTTATGCCAATGCGGTCATAGTACATGTGGAAAACAAAGAATGGGAAACTCCCTGCTTCAGGTCAAAGGAAAGAGGAAAGGGCTATGGAAAATGGAAAATGGAAAAGAGAATAAGAATATTTGCATGGGCCTATGAAGTCAGTCTAAGGGAAGGGGGCTTCATGTCATCTTCTATTGTAAGCAAAGGTAGCCAGGTAGGGGTGTGATCAATGATGTGTTCGGATGTTTTTACTTGGACTAGATTGAGTCACAGGCCAGACAAGATCAAATCATACCACATTACAGTAGACTTTGACAGTTGTAGAATACACGTAGAACATACATGTATCAAACCAAACTAGTTCAAATCAAACTAGACTTTAAACAAATCAGTTGAGAAAAGAAGGGAGATGGTTCTGTTACCAGCTCTTGTGTGAGTAGTCACGGGTGTGGGAGACATCAATAGAGGACTGAGGATAAAAGCGAAAAGAAAAGCAACCTAAACATATAAATGTATAAGTGTATAACATTCTATGGAACTCCACACAATCGAAAAGATTTTCAAAAGGGAGCCATTTTTTTCAGGAATCATCCTTGGGAAAACACTTCTCTCTTTCCAAATGGCCCCTTTTGAGAATAGATTCATAAAGGCGAAAAAAACCTTAGACACCAAAGTGAAAAAAAGAAAAGAAAAGAAAAGCAAAGTCAGACAAAAAAGTACTCTAGAACGTACAAACCCATTCAGCAAAGCTAAACACATTGATAAGCAACTAGACATTGCTTTTTGGAATAATGTATCCTCAACCAGAGACAGACAATAGAACTTTAGGAAAGAGCCTTCAAAGTTTGTGGGGTTATGTTTGAAATTAATACTCCCTCCGTCCCTAAAAGAACTTCCAACTTTCTCTTTTCGTCCGTCCCAAAAAGAACTTCACTTTTCCTTTTTGGCAAAGAATTTGTGGTTCACAGCATTTCTCTCTCCTCTGCACAAATCTCCACCACACAATTCCCACTTTCTTAATCAGCGTGCCACTTTATTTTGGAAGAACATTTAGGGACGGAGGTAGTAAGATATAATTTCATCATAAAGTAGTTTGACATATGTAACATATTTGGCTATGCTGAAATTGATTTACTGGAGCTAGCATTTTATTAAAATCATGGTTTGAATGATTAAGTTACCAAAAAACATTTAAAATATATTTTCAAAATATTACTTCACCACTTCTCAATTGCTTGATTAAGGATAAACTGAACTCTTCCTACATAATAATAGTTGAATAGTATTTCATAACTGTGGAGTAAATTCTACATATTTATAAACATCAATTTTTTTACCGAGTCAGAAACAGCTGAATTTGAATGAATATAGCAAAATTTAGTACATAAAATTAGATTAAAAAAAAGCACAGGGTTGACTACCTAATAATGAAAGATAAAAATAATTTGGAATAGGATATAGTATCTCAAATAGATAGAAATGTCACACCATTCAGCTTAGCTACTCCAAACAAAAATGCACTTCGTCAAATGTGGAAAAGAATGGTTGCTAAAGCTTCCTCCGTGTATAAATTATAGTAAGCTTAAATAAATGATCATCAACGTTCACATAATTAGCGAAAAATGAAGAAGAAAAGACACAACACCGCACATAAGAGAATATACATATAATGATTCAGCAGCTTAAAACTTACAACATGTCAGCATGTTTTGGAGTGCAGAGACATCTGTAAGAACTTGTTAATAAAATGATACACTTTTGGTTACTACTACTACAACAAGAGGACAACATACCCTAATATTATTCTTTTTACCCAGCATTAGCCAGTGTCCACTCCGCCTCCGTCACATTGCTATCATTCACATAAGCTCGCGGTCGCTTCGTCATTGCGGCTAGTGAACTCATGTCTGGTAATGAAGGGACCGAAAAGATTGCATGAGAATCGGTGCATACCTTTATTGACAGCTCTGATAGCTCTTCGCGAGCAGCTTCTAAGCCCTCTGAGCTAGTAACAACAGCTGCTTGGTTGTTGAGTGACTTGCAAGCTTTATCAAGTATTGATTGCAAATATTTGCTTTGAGCTTCTATACGAAGCTGGAGACGGCGCTGTACCTATATTAATAAGAGAACCAAGCATTTGAGATAATTTTGAAAATATTGGCTTTGTGATTTGACACCCTATAATATGTGGCTCATTTACTTGCCACTCCAGTTGTGCAGTCCAATTTGATTACAAAATTTGTGGATAATATATAAACATGAGATAAATCTGACCACTTTGGACTGTTGGAGATATTTTCCCTGATTACCTCTTTAACATATGGTTACATTCACCTAGGAATTTGAGATAATGTTCGGTGATTACCTTTTACGATTATTAGGTGTTGAAATATAATTATGGTAATATTTAAGACTATTCTATCTTTGCCCATAACAATTTAACAGCTAATCTTTTGCATCCCTGTTACCTCACATTAATTTTGAAGACCTAAGGTGCCAAGGTGGTAATAATTAGTGTTTTATATGTATGTCAAAGTTACCTATCTCATAGGTTAAGGTAAAATGTTAGTTTTATTTTAAAGCTCTCATCGTTGTGGACTAGCAGTGAGGGTGAATGGGATTTTAAGTTTTTAATATTTCCCTTGATAAAGGATGGGCAAACACTCGAATGCTAGAAATTTTAACCAAAGCACTCATGCTAAAAATACTCACTAAAGCAATATTTTCAACTGGCCCAAATTGCATATAATTTTTCGATCATGGCCCACTCAAGAACACATTAGAATATCACTTAAACACCCAAGCCGCTTATAGAAAAAAAAAAAACAAGAACCATTTGGTAACGCTTATTTGGCTGAATGCCTGAATATGCTAAGTTGTGTCAAAAGAAAAGTCCATAAAATTGATTTCAGCCAAGTAAGTTAGTGTTAGACACTATTATCCTACTTATTCTGCTTAGGCGTTAGTCTCATTATCCCACTGAGCAAATAAGCCAACTAAAGCATGGTAGACTAAAATTGATTTCATCCAAACGGACCTAATTTTGCATGGTTAAAGAACCAAGCAAAAGGAAGGTGCCATTTGTGCCATACTAAGTGCCAGTATGGTAGACATCATATTTTCAACCAAAAAGCAGCTATGATTTCACCTCTCAATTTCATATATTATCCTTGCTACTTTATTTTTAAAAGATGTTTATTTATTTTTAGTTAATTTAGTGCAGTCAACAAACTCAGCAAATTCAACCATTTTATCACAAATTTGCCCCGGTAAAATCAGTCAACAGAGACACGAGGAGGGCAAAGACAAACCTCTAACTGTTCATGCAATTTTCGTTGAACCTCCATCTGTGCTCGCAAAGCCTCAGTAACCTGGTACCCACTGTTCCCCACATTTTATGATATCATTATTAATCCTATAATGCTAATTCAGAAAAAACTATGAGCTTTTTTTGTACCAATAAATTATAGTATAGAAGAATTTACTCGTTTAGTTCTTGGGAAATCATTCTAGACGAGCCTGATGTAGGAGAACTGGTTTCACGACTCTCGGCTGCACATATTGCTGCAATAGAAACAGAAATAATAAGAAAGAAAATCAATGTAAATGAAATGGAACTGACATGTTCCTTTCAGGTCGCACCATCGCACACGACAATTACATCATCTAGCTTTTTATCCCTGACTTCCATTTTTTCCACTTTTGGAGCACGACTATAGGTTTGCCACTTTTGGTCCTTTCAGGTCACTTATCCAGCAAAAATCAACCTCATTTGACGAATAAGTCATGATTAGGACAAAAAGTGGCAGGAAATTCATAATCATACACCGAAAGTGAATAAATGAAAGTCAGAGATAAAAAGTGGTTTTTTTTTCAAATGTCAATACCATCTTTAGAGTTGTCAGTTGCCTCCTTCAATGATTGCTTCCCGAGACGGTATTTCTGGAAAGAAAATGAAGGGTTAGATTGGCGGGGGAGATGTACATTGAGACTCTGGGTGGAACAAAACACTTAACAATGCCCGTAGGCCAAGAGGAGTGGAAAAGCAAGACAAACCTGAAGGTGTGACTTCAAATGATATAGGGTCAGACCTTTTACCCCCATTGTCCTCATTATTGACTTCGGTGTTGCTTCTGCAAAGTCAAGTGACAAAGAACATAGGTACTAGTTGATTAGCCTATAAATTTGAAGGGGAAAATGGTATGCAAAAGAACAAAAAAGATGTGAGATGCCCGATGTGAGATGACTTAATATTGTTAACTTAATTTTAGTAGGTTTATCTACAATTCTATCATATTCATGAAGACAGAATTCTGGCTTTTATTATAGCAACTGATAAATGAACTAAATCAACATTTTGAGCATAGTTTATACACTTCAATAATTGACAATCCTGGATTTCTGGAAGTGCAGTTTGAAACATATAACACTATTATCCTTAAATAATCAACGTTTGTAACATCAAAGAACTTAAATGCGACTAGTGAAGATCCCAAGTTTTGTCAACACCCAAAAACTTTGGATAGGAAATGACGAGAGACAAACAATTGAACGTACACTTAGCAAAAGCACATATTAACAGGTCTATAATCTTTAAATTTCATTAAGAACTAAATTTTGCAAAAGGTAATAAAAGGGGAAGTTATGCATTCAAAAATAAGCAGGAAAAAGGCCCTACCTTGGTATAAGTACAATGTAGATTTAACGGTCCACACACACCCAATGCTACTGCTGTTGGTATACAAATTTCAACCCTAATGAATACTATCTTGCATTCTTGCTAAAAATGCTAAGATTCTGATATTCTATTTAAATAGTAATATATAAGCAAAGATCTTCTAGATTTTTCATCACTGAAACAGTGCTAAAATAGTTTGCCTGGCGGTGGCCATTCTTGCACTTAGACAAAAACAACAACAGAGAGTTGATCCCAAATCATGAAATATATTCCATCTTAGGTTTCCACCATTTTCTCCTAAATTCAATTACAATTATCTCTACTAAAATAATACTTTGAACACCCAAACATGAATATAGAATTTCAGATTATATTCAACTTGGATGAAGTAATACTAAAGGGGGGAAAGGAAAACAGTACCCAAGATTCAAACTTTCTATGGCCTTCATAACAGCTGAACAGCATAAAATTAAGTAAATCTTAATCTCCAGCCATTAAGACAAAAGGTCATCATATCCCTTCATGGCAATTTTTAGTGAAAATGAATTATTGTATAAAAAAGGCTATGCATTTAACTTAAAAAATTGAACTTTCTGTGGAAATAAATGCATTGACATCTCTAATGGGGTTTTTTATTATATAGTGTTCTTCATTTCCTTGTAAAATCTCAGACATTGAAAGCTTAAATAATTGACTGGACACACATCCCTATCAACTCACCCTCCAATAATGACAATAATAATTAATGCGGAGTACTTCATACTCCCTATTTGCCCTTGAGATCGAAAAAGACCCTGCATTTATTGCGATTCAAAGGTTGTCTTTGCCTAATCATATGAAACATAACACTCCGTACAAATCTTTAATTTTCATTTCAAACTTAGAAAGACTTTCAGACAGAAAATCTGTGGCTAGAGAAGAACCAAGAAAGCAAAAGAATTTAACAGTTGCAGAACCCAAGATTCCAGCTTTCCAACAAAAATGAAATCTTTTTGGAGAATCAACCTACAATGCAGAAATCAAAGAAAGGGTATACTCACTTTCGGGTCCGCCGAGCTGGGTGACGGCGTCGACGAAGCGCTCGTGGAGCTCGGCAGTCCAACGGAGGCGAGGCTTGGGGTCGGCGGTGAGAACAAGACAGGCATCTCCGGGGAGGTTGGTGCCGTCCAAGGACATAGCTCCCGGGTGGCTGTGATGGTGGTGGTGGTGGTGGAGGTTATAGTCGCCGCCGTCGAGACCCAGACCCCGCATAGAGTACATTTTTCACCGAAAATAGCCGGGTTGGGTAACGTGAAACTGGAAAGGGAGGATTGAGAGCTGCCTGTTGAAGGTTGTGTGTCTTTTTGGGTTATATGAGGAGCAGCAGAGTAGGAAGAGAAGAGAAGACAAGACAGCGATGTGTTGTGTTGTCTAGTGTGTGGGAGAGGAAGACTTGTCTTCTTCTCCTCTTTTTTCTTCCTTCTCTTTTTTCTCTATCACAGACTCGTTTAGTCTCTTTGCTTTCTAATTCTAATCATTTTCGGCTTATATTGTCAACAAGATTTTACTTTTTGGATGAAATTTTCAATTTAACAGTGTTTATTGTTTTTTCAAGACGAATTCAGGAAGAGAGAAAAAAGTACTTTGACGGGATACAGAACATAAGCTTGCAAAATCAAATGGAAATCATCCTCGAGGACCGAATTCATAACCAATCGGTGGTGTGATTAGGAGTAAAAATAATCTTAACAACAGAGAGATTAGAAGCTGGTACGGTTCGATACAGTCGATGATAGTATGGGTAAAGCAATATGCATTGGGTGAATGGGCGGTGCCGTTACAAAGCAAACGTAAGCATGGCCGTATTGCAACATCGATGTTTTCGCTCGAGTTAATCCTATCCTCGGTACCTTAATAGTGTCATTTGATATAACAATGTTTTTATTTCCTCGGATGTTTTCTTTTGGATTGAAGTTTGCTGATCTGGTCTGAAATGATTTGGTCTCATAAATGTGTGATCTTATTTTATAACTGTGGAAGTCTGATCTGGTCTAATCTTATCTGATCTGGTCTGGGATTGAAAACAATCTAAAAGAAAACATCCCTAATATGTTTAAGACTAGTATGTCTGGCTTGATAAATGCTTAGTTTGTGTGTATTTATAAGAGTCGAAGTCTTAACTAGTCTGATTTGTTCAAGTATGATTTTTATTTAACTTGGACTGAAAACAATTCAAATAAATAGAAGTGTTGAAATTATTTGAATGAATTGTGAACACAAAATGTTAAGAGAGTGTTTGAAAAATGTCTTCTCAACAAAAATAATGATGTTTGACCCCTTTTAGCGTTCTTAATAAGTGAAAACGTCGTTTGGTTAATAGTTGTTCGGCCCTAGTGTCGTTGGACAAAAACGCTACAAATATCAGTGTTTTGTGTTAATTTTTTGAAATATGGCATTTTCTACTAATTGTTATTTCCAAACAGCTAAATTGTCAAACATCTTCTGACAACCCACCAACTTTTCTTGCTAGCCAAACCCACTAACTGAATCCGATGTTGACAATCCGCTAACATAATTCGCTATTTGTTAACCGCTATATGTCAAACACGCCCTATATATGTTTTAAAAAACTATGTTTAAAAACTAAGTTAGTTATCTTCAACAATACCATGTAGAAGAATAGTCTCGGTCTTACTTATTCTAAAATAAATTGCACTAAATAGGAGTAAAAATATTTGGGATTACAAAACATGGACAACGCCGAGCTATTGGTACTTTGGATAAGTTGGACGACTCCGGGATTACAAAATATTTGGGATTACAAAACATAAACTTACCAAACTTAGCGCTCGTGTAGCTCGGCACTAAACCATGTAGATTACAAAATAGCAATGCTACTTTGAAGTTCCCAAATATTTTTAAAAAAAGGGTGACATCTCATTCCTGAGGGCCCCCAAAGTTTTCAATGGTGGATTATTGTAATCTACATTACCTATGTATTTATGGATGTGGCTTCTCCTAAATTTCCAAATGCTAATTTCAGCCTTTATTGATCATTAAGCTAAAACCACACTACTTTTTTAATTTATATACTAAGCCACTAAGGCAAGTAACTATTTTCACAATAAAATACATACTACAAAATATCACACTATCATTAATGTATACTCCGTACTACATTTATGTATTTGGTTTTGCCCTTTTTATCCCGGTCTCATTGAATTAATCATGTGATCCTAATAATCACTCAAACCCTGAGAGTAAATTTGAATTACTCGAACATTGTGTTAGGTTCTAATGATGTCTAAAAATCCCTTTTAAAAAATATTAGATGAGGGACTAGTTAGATCTCATACTTAAAATGTACATCATTCCACAATTTGGTCATATATTTAATTAGCTACTAGGCATATTATTGAGAGACAGTATATTAATAAAGTCATAATAATAATTTCATAAAATGAGTTTGTAACTTTATTAATTAATGAGCATTAAATATTGATAAAGAAATCATAATTTATGATTGTCCTAGGCTAGGCATGTCTCCAACACTTAATTAAATATGAGTTCCTTAAAAGAAAGTACACCTTATTGGTACGTATAGTACTTTTAATCATTTTGAGATTTTTGTGATGTTATATTTGTCTCTAATGATAATTCTTTAGACGCCTAGGGCTACCTTGTGCAATGGTCTAGCCTATAGACAACATCATTAGAACTTAAGACTTGACAGGGTAATTTAAATTTATGAGGTAAGTGTCAGATTAGTACTCAAAGTTGCATAAACAGGGTCAAATAAGTCCTTATATAGGAGGCTCAGTCCGGCCGTCGTCATTTGAGGCGGTTCCCAGTGGAATTTTTTGACGGAATGTTTTGAGCATCTTACTCATTAAGTCTAGTTTACTCATACCAAATTTCAGCTAAAAATTCAACCGGAAAGACATTCAAATGAATTCTTGAAGATAACTGTGCAGTTATCTTCAAGAATTCATTTGAATGCCTTCCTGATTGAAGTTTTAGCTGAAATTTGGTATGAGTAAACTAGACTTAATGAATAAGATGTTCAAAAAAAATCGTCAAACAATTCCACCGGGAACCGCCTCAAATGGCGACGGCCGGACAGTAAGGACTTATTTAGTTATTTGACCCTTTTCATGCAATTTCAAGTACCAATTTGACCCTTACCTCTTAAATTTAGTGTCAAGGGCATATCCAAGATGATACATAAGACTTGACATGTACCAAAAGTATTTTTAGAGAACTCTCACATAGATTTTATTATTTAATAATTTAAAAGAAAATGAAATTTGGGGTGGATGACCGGGTTGGGGAATAGCACCCCTAGTATGGGGCATACGCCCCCCAAGTAGTAAAATGTTTAGGGTTCAGTGTTTAAATTGAAGTGTTCTAACCTTCATACTATATCTAAATATAAGGACGAGTGTAATACAAAAAGATCGATATAAGATTGAACACCAAGGGGAGATTGTTAGGGATATTTTATGGTGTCCAATCTGGTTAAATATCTTTGTATTTGTGTAGCTATTTTGTCTAGATATTTTAGCCCATTGGGATCTTTGTTAGTTATTATTAGACAAGCTTTATTAGGAAATGTGCAAAGTGTCTATTGGGCCCAATCAATAAAAGAGCTCAATCATGATGCTTAGGTCATATCACACATTCCCTAGGCATATAAATATTGCCTTTAAGGGAATGTGCAAGAGGCTTTTCAGACAGATTATTCAGCGCATAAATCATTTTTTTTAGAAAGAGCCGATACTTTGTATTCTCGATACCTTGTTCTGTATTTCTAAACCATTCTCGGTATTGAATCAAAGTTGATCTTCTCCACTCTATTCTATATTTCATATGATTGTTGGATGAAATAGGGACAAACACTCCCCGAATTGGTCTCCAGGCCATGGCCATGGTTTCACGAAAAGCAATTGGGCGAACAGGTTTATCCGTTACCACTCTTACCATAGCCAAGAAACAAGCGCCCCCATCGCTCTTAGTATCACCCCCTACCGGGTATGCTCCCAGAACCAAACCTCGATCTTCCTCCTCAGTAATGGTAACTTTAATAAAGGTCTCAACAAGCATATCCAAAATAATAATCAAACCACACAGCAAGATGTACAAAACAAACAAGAGCGGATCAAGAATACAGTTCTTCCACAGCACAAACAACAACGAACAAAAGCAATAGCTCAAAAATCTTGTGAAAATTTCTTGGGTTTGACAAACCAAGCAACCAAGCTTAAATACCCTTCAAAACAAAACGAATAAAAATCCTCGGCAAAAGAGCGACACAATAAAACGCCGGGTACCTCACGACCCGAAAGCCAAAAAAAACAGAAACAAGAGTGACCGAAATCAATCGTAAAAAGAGAACATGTTGCTGTAGAGGGGGGGGGGGACTTCGTCGCACACGATCGAACGATCTGAAATCAGCTTCGTCCCTCGTACGCCGCTAGGGTTTATTAGCTACATCGCTCCAGATTGCCGCTGCTACTCTCAATTGGAAAGTTGATTGATTAATTACAAGGCCGGAGTAAAGCCTGAAGAACGCCGACGGCCGGGAGGATTAACGCATTAGGTATTAGCAAAGGAATAAGGAGTTATCATTTTAAAAGGGGTTCTAACTAGAACCCTCCCATTTTGAATAAAAGAATAAATTTATTCTTCATAAATTATGTGATATATTACTCATTAAATTGTTAGTTTTTATCATGATTTATCTTTTATTTATACAAATTGTTAGTCTTGTTACCATTTAACACAACAACTTAAAAAATGATGTAAAGTTTGTATTTTACAATAATTATATGCTAATAATACATTGAGCTATGTATAAGAATTTAATTTATATGTGTTACGATTAGGCAAAGATAAACGATAAATTAAGAGCAAGAACACAAGAATTAACGTGGTTCACACAATCGGGTTGATTGTGCTAGTCCACGGCGAACGAGAGAGAGTATGTATTATTATCAGCGTCCCCTAGAGGTTTACAAGTACATAAGAGTCGTTTAAATAGGTTTAGGAAAACCTAAACTGAGATTAGAGCCGCAGGCCCAAAATTAAGCCTGTTTTTAAAATTCCCGTCGCCTGACCCGGTCGGGTCTCTTATTTGACCCGGTCGGGTCTCCTTCACAGAACACAAACCCGGTGGAAACCAGGTCGGGTTTCCAAAACAGAAGGCTTCTGCCTTGCTGACCCGGTCGGGTCCCTTCACTGATCCGGTCGGGTCTCACGTCCAGTGAGCTCCCAGGTCTTCTGCTTCAACATACCCGGTCGGGTCCTTCATCTGACCCGGTCGGGTATCAGTTCTGAAATTCTGAACAAGACTCCATCTTCAACAATCTCCCACTTGGAGGCTTGGTCAACAATCATCTGCCATCCAAGAACATGTATCTTCTGTAAAACCCCTGATCTCTCTCTCTCTCTCTCTCTCGTCCACGCCTTCTCATCAAGTATCTGGAAGGCCCGTTGAAGCCATGCATA